AGCTGAAACATTACTTTACTGCTAATGACATTCTAGAGCCCAAGAAATTGACAGGTTTACTTAGCCTCATGGGTCCAAAGATGTATGCTCTTCTTAGAAATCTGCTCTCTCCCGATAGACCAACTGACAAAACATTTGATCAAGTTGTGGATATTTTGGAAAAACATCTGTCTCCCAAGCCATTGATAATAGCAGAGAGGTTCCGTTTCTTCAAACGAGACCAACACGTAGGTGAATCTGTCAATAGCTATGTTGCTGAATTCAGAAGGCTAGCTAAGTCCTGTGATTTTGGCAACTATTTAAATGACGCCTTGCGTGACAGATTGGTGTGTGGTTTGCGAATGGATGCAATACAAAAGCGCTTACTGAGGGAAGACAAAATAGCCCTTAATACTGCCATAGAGATCGCTGTAGACAAGGATCAACTAGAAGTGAAAGGACAGGCAAGAGTAGAAACATCCATAAATAAAGTAAATCATCAAGGGTAGAAAAGTTCATGTCTTAGATGAGAATGTTGATAGTGATGAAAGTGATATTCTGGGAACTATTCATGAAGTCAATGTTATTGACAAACCACGCAGTCAACCAATATGGATTACCCCACTGGTAGAAGGTAAATCTATCCAAATGGAATTGGATACTGGTGCGTCTGTGTCATTAATTTGTAATGATGACTACGAGAAATACTTCAAAGGAATGAGGTTGAGAAAAAGTTCCATCACTTTAAAAGCATTCAATGGTCATCAGAGGGAAAATAGATGTAACTGTAGACTACAAGGGTAAGACACACTGCCTAGAATTGTATGTGCATAATGACAGTGAAAGAAATCCAATATTTGGACGCGCATGGCTGTACAAAATACAACTCAACTGGCAAGATCAAATCAGTAAGAAGTACATCCAGTACCAAACCAAGTAAGTCTACCACATCTATTGACACAAAATTAAAACCCTTGTTAGATAAATACTCAGAAATTGTCCCGAGATGAAAGGGATCAAAGCAAAACTAGTAGTTGATGAAAATGCCCAGCCAAAATTTTGTAAGCCACGGCAAGTACCCTATGCAATTCGACCAAAAGTTGAAGCTGAACTTGACCGACTGGAAGAGGAAGGAATCGTCTCCAAAGTCAATTACCGTGAATGGGCAACCCCTATAGTACCAGTTGCGAAAAAGAATGGTACAGTACGTATCTGTGGTGATAAAGTGACTGTCAATCCTGTGTTACAAGTTGACCAATACCCATTGCCCAGAATTGAAGATATATTTTCTGAGCTTGCAGGTGGTCAAAAGTTCACTCGAATGGATTTACATCAAGCATACCACCAGATGGAATTGGATGATGAATCAAAGAAATTTCTCACAATTAACACATCAAAGGGACTTTACAGATACAATCGCCTTGTATTTGGCATTGCCTCAGCACAAG